AGCGATCTATTGCTGGGTACCACTCTAAGTGCCCGGGTTGCCATAAGAAGCCTTGCATATCACGCATTATTGACAAGGACTTCGACTCAGCGGCATCTAATGCTGCTAAGGCCAAATCCAAATCTACGTTCATCGGTTATGATGACGAGAGAAGCGGCACTATGTTCTGCCGTGAGATCGACTTCGCTATGGAGGGTCACAATGCCGTCACCCGTTATCTATGGGCTAAGAATAACATCGATGCCGGTCTATGGCGTAAGCTAACTAATGCGACCGAGCCACCGGCTAGATGTCATCAAAGCTATGAGCATCATCTACGTCAACTTTGTCGTAAACTACGCAAAACTTTCGACACGGATGAGGCTTTGTCTCGAGCCGAGTACAAATTCAACACTTGTACCCAGCGATCTAGCGAGACATTATTCCAGTTCATATCAAGGCTAGAAACTCTAGCTGACGAGCTGGTATATCTACGAGCTGGGCCGAGAGAGTCTACCCTCAAACGACGTCTGTATGATGGTACATCATCCAACGATCTGAAGGAGAAGGTCGAGACCAAGGTGGGCAACCACAAAATATCATATAAGAAATTTGTGGATCGACTGTCAGAGCATGAGAGGAGGCGGCAGGGCCGACTCCAACGCTCATCTACGGTCAACAAGCCCAGTGGTAAATCGACAGGTCGTCTACATGTCATCGAGTGTGAAGACGATCCTCAAGAAGAGACCTATTGCCATGCCGTTGGCAGCGATGCCTTATCTATAAAGTGCTATCGGTGCCTCCAGAGCGGTCACCCAGCTCGACTCTGTACTGAGCCCAAAGTGGTCGATCTACAGAAAAGATGCTCTAAGTGCGGCAATCCAGAGCATCAAGAGACAGACTGCAAGTCCCAGTCAACAGTTATTCTGCCAACGTTGCCTGAAGAAGGACATCTAGCGTATGTCTGTACTGCTCCTACACCAGCAGATCAACCGAAGAAGTGGGACCTAAGCCTAAGAAAGACTTCGGTAAGGG